AGAGAGAGAGAGAGAGAGAGAGAGAGAGAGAGAGAGAGAGAGGAGGATTTATTAGAGTGGTAGTCCAACAATGGCTTTGTCCCAGTGGTGGTTGTCCAGTCCATGAGACTGGATGTCCCAGAAGCTCCAGTTGATTGTTGAAGTCCCAGAGAAGTTCTAGTCTTCAGTTTCTGTTAGTATCCCAAAGAAGTAGGTTCTAATACCAATGAAGGACTGCCTCAGGAACAGGATAGATGAACTTGCCAATGAGAGTGAGGGCAAGCAAGCAAAAGAGCAAAAGCTTCCTTCTCCCATGTCCTTCTATGTGGGCTGTCACTAGGAGGTGTGGCCCAGATTTAGGGTGGGTCTTCCCATTTCAAATGATCGGGTCAAGCAAATCCCTCACAGGTGTGTCTAGCTGCTTGGCTTTAATAGATGATAGACTATAGATGTAGTCAAATTGACAACCAAGATTAGCCTGCATGCATATAAACAAAATGTATAAAAGATAAGAATAGGGCAAGCAGCTCAAGGCTTAAGTATTTGAATTTTGTTTCATAGCATTACAAAGATCTTGTTTCCACCTTGAATAAATTTTAAATGAGTATTTTCAGCTATGTGTAATAATTTGAGATTACATGGCAGTGACTTCCTTGGCCAAAGAATTTGTTCATTTCTCACAATAAGTTTTAGGAAAAAAATTAAACTAGTAGGACCCTTAGCAACTCATTTGTCATATGACATATTTTTGCTAAGTACAGGCAGCTATAGATCTATGCCATTGCCTTCTAGCTTTTATCACTGCAGACTTGTTTCCGCCCAGGGATTTATCACCTGGAATTAACTACTGTATAGAAATTATAGACATGTATCATTCTGTACTAACGTTTCTTAAGTTTAAGGTAGGGAGACTAAGTGTGGAGAAGTAGGCCCCCTGTCTGTCTTTCTAGAGATAAATTCCTTTTGCCACTTAGATTTCCTTTCCTTCTTTTATTTTGAGGTCTTTGTTTCCTGGGTTAAAACATCTGACCACTTCCATGGCTTTTTTTCCTCAATACACAGTGTTTTTGTCATTTGATTTGTTTTTGAAATCTTCATTATAAAATAATGTGAGGCTTCTATGAAAGTCACCACATAGTAGAGCATCCTTGCATGCTCTTCACATGCCCCCCCACCCTGTGCTGTGATCGTCCAAACCGCACAACCAACTGTACAGTAGTGCTAATGAAATGACAAAATTCAGCCACTTCACGGAGGTCAGTTTTCCATTCCAGGATCCAGAGTCCACAGAGTCCACACACAGTTCCACACTGCACTTGTCTCCTCAGTCTTCTGACCTATGATAGCTCCTTTTCTTGGGATTTTTTTTAATGCACTAGTTAGTTATCCCATAAAGACACGTCAGTTTGGTTTGTCTGCCCCATGAGATGATGCATTTGGGGCTGGGATGTGTAATAGTTGGGCATCCCCATGAGATGATGCATTTGGGGCTGGGATGTTGTAATAGTTGGGCATCCCCATGAGATGATGCATTTGGGGCTGGGATGTTGTAATAGTTGGGCATCCTTTCACTGTCTGAGGTCAGTAGCACACGAGGCTGCACGTCTTGTTGCTAATCACAAGTTCTGGGCTAAGGTGGACCTGGGGAGAGTTATAAGATAATACAAACATTGTATTTGTGCTGAAAAATACACCCATTAATTTTAGCATTCATCAGTGGGAAATCCTGCATCAGTTAACTGTGACTTCCCAAAAGGAGTGTCTGTTCCTCTAATTCCTCACACATTTGTCACTCAGGATTTTTCTATAAGGAATAGTCGTTACTCCATCTTCTGTTTACATATCTGTGAAGCATGAATAATAAAAACCCAGAAACAAATATTAGGGTTCAAGCTGAAGATCAGAGAAGCAAAACAAACCAAGCCACCAGAGAGCTCTTATCTCTATCAAGGCTGGGGAGATCCTGTCCTCAACGTGGCTGGAGACTAATTCCCTAAGACTGAACGCCAGCGCTGAGATCCTGCTCTGTCTCATATACCTCTCTAGTGCTGGGATTAAAGGTGTGGGCCACCACCACAACTAGCTTCTATGGCTAGCAGTATAGCTGCTGGGGTTAAAGATGTATAGCAACTCTATGGCTGTGGCTAGCTTTACATTTTAATCGCCATGCAAGATTTATTAAATCAGAAACAATATATCACCACATATGTGTGCCATAGGTTCAATTGTATTTGAATTCTCAGATTATATTTTCAGTGTAGCAGAATTACTTTATATTCTTACCTGTGGTGCATGGCGCTTTCTGGGTTTTCCTAGCCTTTGCCCATGTCATATTGCCAACCTTTAAAAAGTTCCTCTCTCCATTTCAATGGGGAGGTAGTAATACCACATTTTGGTGATTTCTGTTTCACTAGGACTTGATAGATGGTTCATTTTCCCTTATCCCAGTTATCATCTGTATGTTTTGTCAATGTTTACTGGCTGCTGTGTGTGAGAGATCTTTTAAGTGTGCTAGGTCAAATCTGTTACCAGCTGTAAGATTTGCAAAGACTTTCCCCCCTTTGCCTTAGCTCTCATTTTCACTAATAAAGCTAAACTACTTGGTAATATAAATTCCCAACATATCAATTTATTTCTACCATGCATGTTATGCTTTTGGTTTTGTGTCCAGAACTTCCTTAATCCAGGGTCCCACTATTTTCTCCTAGGAGTCATCCATTATGTACTCTGGAGTTAATTGTGTAAGCTGTAAAGTATATATCGAAGTTTCCTTTCTTTGTTGGGGGTGAAGGGAAAGGTCCACAGACATCTAAACTGTCAACTCCTTCCCAGTAGCTGCCTTGCCCTTGTATACTCAGAACAGTATAACACTTTCCACACAAAAGACAATATTCCCAGGTTTTACTTTGTGTGGCTGCTCCTACCACGACTCATTATCTGTAACAGTTCCTTCTGTTTATAATGCTAAATGCAAACCTTTGCACATGTCTGTGAATCCCTCCGTCAATACAGAGTAATGTCTGCCCATTAATCAAGTCTCTGTCAGTTTTGAACAGGACTAAATGCTGTGGCTACTTTTCAAGTGTGGCTTCTGAAAGACTCCTGGAAATACTAATTCTTCAATGCTGTGTTCCAGCCACCATCACGCCTCTTCACCAAGACCCTCGCCTCTCCAACATCATTGATTTGGTTTCAGCCCCGGATTTACCTAATAAGACAAAAAATGTATCCAAATACAAGAAGCTGATTCGATGGCCAGATTTCCATATCCTCTTTGAAACAGATGCTAACTACCAAAACAAAGTAAGTTTCAAGATATCATGTCTTGGAAGTGGGTGGTAAGGGAGCAGAACCCCACTGAAATTATTCTATGAACGTGATGTGTGGGAAGCTTCAGAGCATCCTAATCCATGGCAACGGGAGCGTCATCCCAGTGGGACTCTACATCATCTCCCCCCCCACACCCGTCTGAGCTCTACTTACCCTAGTTTTCCAAACCTCCACTGTGGAAGTGAGTTTTCATCCCTATGGTTCTTTTGTGACTTTGGCTTGCCAATATGTTGGCTCACCATTTCCCAGTCCTTCCCTTGCCACCTAACTATATATTTTTGTCCAAATTGACAGTAGAATATCATTACCTCAGCTTGTGTCTGGATTCTATGCTGTCCAAAACAACTATGTCTTAAGAACCAGGTGAAGCTGTGAATACATAGGACTAGCTTTCTCTGAGGCTATCTCAAGAGAGACACTTCAAAATCTTGTGACAAGCAGTGAAACAGATGGCTGGTCTCTGTAATACATAGTTCAATTAACACCTTGATTACAAAACTAAATATCTGTGTAAGCTTTACATAAAAGTCAAGTGTTAGTTGCCTTCATTTCTTGGTCTTGTTTTCAGCATATTTCAATATTTAATTCCAGCTCCAAACAGAATGACTTGCACAAGGACCATTATTTAACAGAAACTATCAGTTTGCCAAACTATGCATTTCCACTCCTATCATGAAAGTTTTGAGTAGCATTTTCATTCCCAGATTATGACTGTGCTGACGACTGTATCATTGTCATTTCCCAGATTGTGAGTGTGCTGACTATTGTATCATTGTCATTCCCAGATTGTGAGTGTGCTGATGACTATATCATTGTCATTCACAGATTGTGAGTCTGCTGGCGATTATTGGCAATTCAATGGGCCTGGTTAGCGATTACAGCTGCAGGTTTTTAAAGTACTGTTACATGGTAGAAAAGGCCAAAGTCATGAGTATGAAACTGCCATTCATGGGGATGTTAACATCAACAGAGTTTAAAACTATAATACATAAATTCAGAAACTACCTAAAACAGATTGTGACTATGTCCATCGAGATGCGCCTTGGAATTTTTTGTGTGAAAAGTTTGGATTATCAATTAGCATGCTTACCGTATGTTGACAGCATTATAGAAATGAGCTACAACCTGTTACGCTGTGCAATTGAGGAACATAATACAAACCTATTGGAAGTAAGTCTTTAAACCTGTCCTTTTCCGTAAGATTAACTGTAAGATACACACTCAAAAATATGCAGAAGTGTTATCCTCAGAGAACCTGAAAGTAGTGTGATTACATTTGCTTTTGTTTTTCACCTTTGTCTGTGTGTGTGCATTCACACAAACAAGTGTGACTGGCAAGTGCTCTGTGGCACAAGTGTGGCAGTCAGAGAACAACTTCAGTGTTAGCTTGTCTTCCTCCTTGTTAGAGAAATCGTGTCTCCTGATTGTAGCATAAACCAGGCCCTTGGGCTTCTGGGAATTCTTCTGTCTCCACTGGATCTGGCCCTGGGAACCCTGGGATTATGGACATGCTGCTGTGTCTGGTTTTACAGTTTGTGGAGAGGCAAGCTTGAGCCCTCAGACTACATGGCAAGTGCTTTACCCAACTCGGCCATCTCCCCAGCACCTACCTGAGAACTGTCTGTAACCACACTGCAAGCTGCGGCTTCCCGTGTCGTTTTTCCACCCCTCCCCCATTTTGCCTTTTTAACAATGCATCACTATCTGGCATTATTTTAGATGTTCCTTTGTTCATCATCCTCTTAGTTAGAACATAAGATCCACCATACTATGGAGTGTCTGTGGTAAATCTTGGATCGCTGATGAGTGTTCAGTGTGAATTCAGGCTGCCATTGGGGGTAGTTCTCTTATGGGACAAATTTCTAAGACCATGGTCATTTGAAGCTTCTGTGGAAAACTTCGAGCATGTAAACGCCTGGGAGCACCCCAAATTTAAGTTTCTAGGACAAATATGGATCCTTGTATGCCAGCCATTGTCTATACCAGCATCCTCACTAATGCCCTCGACCTGCTTAAAAACTGGAATCTATGATAACAGCTGTCATCTTCTCTTTATTTAGCCAGACCACCAATACTTCTTAAACCTAAAGTTAGTGCTGTGCCTCTGCAATATAACGGTGAGAAGGTGGCATTGTTCTTGCGCAGACAGAGTCTTAATGTAGCATAAAATCTCATCAGAAGTATCTAACAGAGCCTGGGTGGACCAGGAATCGTTTTAAAAATGCTAATTACTAAAGGAGAAGTGCCAGTAGTGGAGAAGCACTGGGCTGACCATCAGGCTGACCATTGCAGGCGATTGTTAATGTAACTGGGTTCAGGTACATATGACCCCCTCCCACCACCACAACCACCAAAAGAAATGAACCGCGGTTTACACATGTTAGAAGTAATCCCTCTGTCAGAGAGTAGTATTACAGCGAGACAGCCTAAGTTTACTTTGAGACTCCACAAAGTCACAGAGAGTACTGGATGCTTGGGGCTCACTGGGCCTTCCCCTAGGCACCTCTGACATCAAATGCCTCTTCTAGGCAGCAGGGCAGAAGAAGGCAGCGTGCCCACTCTGGGTCTAGGAAGTTGGGCAGTAAAATGTATTCATAGAGTTACCTTCCTAAGAGTTTCCCCACACCATCTCACATTTTAACTTCAATTATTCACTACTGAAAAATAATATTTATTACTTTTTTGAGACTTTCAGGCAATGTATTTTGACCATATTCATCTCCTTCCCCAATTCCTCCCAGGTCTACCCCCACGTCCTACCTACCCAAGTTTGCGCTGCCTTTCTGTCTCTTTTTTAAGCCCCTCAAATCTAATCTATGTTGGTCAGCTACTCAAGTGTAGAGCCTATTCCGGAGTGTAGTTGAGCTACCAGGGGTCAGACCATTGAAGAAAACTGACTCTCCCTCTCCCGGAAGCTATCAAATGCCAATAGCTCCCTCGTGGGGGTGGGACTTCCTGTCCATCTCCCCTCTCCATGCTGGGATTTGGTCCGGCTCGAGCTTTCACAGGTCTTGTGAGGGCTGTTACAATTGCTGTGCGTCCATATGTACAACTTCCCTGTTGTGTCCAGAAAAGACTGTTCCCCTGAGTTCACCAACTCTGCCCCCTCTTCATCAACAATCCCTGAAGTTTGGAGGGGAGGATTGTGAATAGGTGTCCCATTTAGGGCCAGGCATCCCACCGTTTCTTACTCTCTGCACCTTAGCCAGCCATGGGTCTCTGCTAACTGCCATCTATTGCAAGAAGAAGCCTCTCGGATTAGGGTTGAATCACGATTCTGTAACTTTACCATCATTCTGATCTTAGACTAACTTGAGATTCAGTTCCTTGTCTGATTTGCAAACACACTCTCTCAATAAGGTGGGGCCGTGTAGGAGAACCTGGGATATGAATGGTCAGAATGATGGTGTGCCCCCCCCAATATTCCAGCCCCACTCTTGTAATCCCCATCATACTTATTTATTTCAAGTTATCCATAGAATGTCTTGCCTGTCTTATACCATTTATTTTACATGTGAAACATAGTCAAGCCCTTTCTGCTCATGGTAGAGGGATTTAGTAGTGTCAGTGTTCTAGCAGTTAGCAAACACTTAGAATTATGTGCCCTTTGTATATTAATGTTTTCGGAAATTACATCTGTAGAAGTCAGAATTCCAAGATTCAAACAATATGTTCTAAAACAGTGAAATTATTGCATACTTATCATTGGCACGTCAATACTTTCAGATCTTAGACTCATCACTGCACAAACTGGATTCTGAGCCTGTGGAAGTAGGGGAATTTGTGGATCACTTTAATTTTTTGGAAGATATTTCCTCGAGTTTATCTCAATTAGAGAAAGATTTCTCCACAATTTCTCAGCTGTATTCTGTTGTGAGGCATTACCAGATCGAAATTTCTGAAGACCAGAATGCCATCTACAGAATCCTTTTCATGAAGTTAAATCATCTAAAAACAGCTATAAGGATACTTGCCAGCAATAAAGAAATCACCCTAACTAAATTCAGGAACAGTTTGGATGTATATATTGTTGGTTTAAGAGTGGAGGTCAGCAAGTTAAAAGATAAAGTAAGTGCTTTTTATGTTTTTATTAGGTTTTTCATCTCAGTCTTCTGTAATGCTATGTGTGTAAATACTCATTGTCTATGGGATCCCAGTTAAATAATTTAATCCAAATGTATTTGCCCTGTGTGGTGCTTTGATTGAGAAATGCCCATATTGGAACACTCAGTCTCCAGCTAGTGGCCCTGTCTAGGGTGGTTAAGAAGGTGTGGCATTGCTGGAAGAAGTATGTCACTGGGGGTGGACTTTCAGAGTAAAACCCTCACATGATACTGGTTTGCCTTCTCTGCATCCTGAGAGAACTTGAGGGTGCAGCTCTCTGCTCTGGCTGCCATGCCTGATCCTTGTAGTCACTGCTTTCCTGCTGCGATAGGTTTTTATCCCAAACTCTTCTGTAAGTTAGTTGCCTTGGTCATGGTGTTTTATCCCAGCAATGGAAAAGAAGCTAACACACCCTGGGATTCCCAAATAGAGTTTTGATGATTTGTGAAGTTTAATGGGACATAAGATCACAAAACTCCCCCCCCTTTTTTTTCCGCTCTACCCGGAATTTAGCATTTTCTTTAGCTATGCGGATGAATGTATTAAACACGGTAGCAAAGTTCTTCAACAACAGAATAAAAGGGAGCAACAAAAAGCAGACTCTCTGAAAATTGTTCTAGGCTCTTGAGTCAGGTGGTAATATTCCAATTCCATTCACTTTATCATGTCAAAAAGTAGGTTATTTGCTAGAGGTGGTGCCAGCAAGACATGGTTGTGTTCTGGGTAGTCTTGCCTCTTTGAGTATTTTTCCTCTGGGTTTTAGATCAGAAACCCCGCCCTGCTGTGTGCCAGTACTTCAGTTTCAAAAGCCAAGGACATGATCAATTCCTACATAGCGAAAACTGAAAACCTGACTGAGAAAGTGAAAACATACGCAAGCTACCAGAACTATTTTGACGAGTCCCAGGCGCACATGCACACTCTTAACATAGAGGAGATGTCTCAGATTGTGCTGTCGGAGCTCTCCGAAATTGAGTGTGACCTGATGCTCAAGAAGCTGTTATGGGAGGCACAGGAAGAGTGGGTGACGCTTTTCTGGGAATGGAAGAGATGCAGTCTCCAGAGCATCGATGTAAACTTAGTGAGGAGTAACGTCGCCAAGTGGCTGCACATAATCGTTGTCCTGGAAAAAGGTACCGTGCACTGCACTCCTCCAAGCTTCCTACCCGCCAAAGGCAAAACGACATCTGCAGAGAGACAGTTAAACGAATTTAAGTAGAGATCATTCACTAAAGCAAGAAACAGTTTAAAGCCTTGGGTCTCCGGAGGGATGGATAACCACAAGTAATTATGAATAGTTTGGTATCTTTTAAAGGTTGGTTTCATGAGCTGGGTGGTGATAATGCACACCTTTGGTCCCAGCACTCAGGAGGCAGAGGCAGGTGGATCTATGTGAGTTTGAGGCCAGCCTGGTCTCCAGAGCAGATGCCAGGACAGCCAAGACTGTTACACAGAGAAACATTGTCTCAAACACACGCACGCACGCACGCACGCACGCACGCACGCACGCACGCACGCACGCACATGCACGCAGGCAAAGTTGGCTTCATGGGTAGATGTCCAGATATTTCAGAATCAGTTTTGACTCCCAGGGTTTGTGAGCTTGAGATATCTTGATGCTAAGATCCTGCCTGCAGAATTGTTTCCTGAATTCTATATCTGATGCTTATAACATCCTTTGGGCAGTGGGAAAAACACCTCAAGTCATTCTGTGACATTGGCCTGTGATAACCATCACTTTTGAGGTGGTGCCTACACAGACACGCTGCCCTGTGACAGCATTCTCTGTGTTTAACGTGGACAAGATTGTCTTTGCTTTTTGTTAAGTCTCCCTTGTCACTCACTACACCTCAAGCTAGAAACCATTCTCTAGAAGGGCCATCGAAACATTTTAGCTTGCTTGCTGTTAAATTGTACAACCTAGGGCTGTAGCTCCACTATGGAGCATGCGCTTTAGAGGACAAAGGCCTGTGTTTCAATCCCCAACAGCACAGAAGCAAAGGAACAAGTGTACACTGTATTACACAATAAATGTCACTGTCACAATGGGGCTGTGTGGAGCGTGGAGCCTCCACACAGTGGAGTGCCTGCAATCCCAGCACTTAGGAGACTGAGGCAGGAGGTTCATAAATTCAAGACCAACCTAAATTACATGATAAGATCCTGTTCCAGAAAAACATCTCAACAAGCAAACAAACAAACAAACAAAAATCCACGTGTGTGTGTGTGTGTGTGTGTGTGTGTGTGTGTGTGTGTGTGTGTGTGTGTGATATATATTCCTGTGAGGGAAAGAAGTCTGGGAAACCTGGTGCTAGGTGCCTTCCAAGCACTACATTTCCCAAGACAACTTGGGTCTGTTCCACTTGGTGTTTAGCCATTTATCTGGATAATTATTTTCTTATATTTCAATCCTTAATTGATGTTATAACTGTTTGGCATCAGTAAGGCTTCATTGTTCTATAATGAAGATTAACAAGTGATAAAACGGCATTATATTGATTAGCAAATTTTAAGGAAAAATTCTCATCTTCTCAGTTCATTTGGTTAAAAAGATATGAACATATCATTAGTCTACCAAATTCCTGGTATTTATAGGTTTGCCTAAAAATGATATGGTAGCACACCTCAAGCAGTCAGTGATGGACTTCAAGCAGGAACTTCCTATCATCACAGCACTGGGAAACTCTTGTCTCAAGCCACGGCACTGGGAGGCTCTTCGGGAGCTTACCGGAAAGTCGATTTCTCTTGATAAAAACCTCTCAGTAGACAAACTGCTAGCTCTCAAGGTAAGTAAAAATAGTTGACAAGAACATGCTGAATCATGAGGGGTTAGTTTTAATTACAGGCAAGGAAGCCTACAAGGAACATACATTAGAAAACAGGGAGGTGGGCGGAGTGTCTGGGATAGCCAGGAGTCCCTGACAGACTGTTATATTTGGGGGGAGGGGGCTTCGTTTTAGCTTTATTACTGAGGCGACTAGAGAACAGTAACCCTGGCTTTTGTATGTGACAAACGTCATTCTTTATCATGCCAATTCTTACACAGATTACATTTTATAGGTCTAGAAATGTCAAATGCACTGTGGCTCATCTTATACATAGTGAAAATATATTAAGAACGTATTGGGACAGTCTTACAAATAACAATATTTTGTTTTAAAAGCCAAATTAGCAACAGTTTGATTTCCCACAAAGCTCTATTATATAGGGCTCTAGATATGTCTTGGTTTGTAGAGAGCCTGCCTAGCATTTAGGAACTCTGGGTTCTATTCCTAAGACCATGTAAACCAACCTGGAATATGGTGTGTGCCTGTAATCTCAGCCCTCAGGAGGTAGAGGCAGACTGAGGATCAGAAGTTTGAGGCCATTCTTAAATGTAAACCCTACCTGAGGCCAGCCTGGTCTATGCAAAATCATTTCTCAAAAAATAGCAAAGCGAATAAGATCTATATGATGTAAATGTAGAGACTTTATGCTCGAAGGTTACAGGAGATGATAATTCATTAAAGGCAGTAGCATCCTTCTAAAACTGTCCCAGTATCACAGCATTTGAAAACCCACCTCTTTGCCTATCAAGCTTTGATCATAAAGACTCAACAGGACTAGATTCAGGTGGCTCAGACTTTGTCTTACACATTGTATCTACATTTTATTTTTAGCCATCTCAAAGTATAGTTGGAGGAAAAGTTTTTCTGTAGCATAAAACTTTTAGCTAGTTCTGGGGCTTTAAAATCTATGTTGCCTGAATGATAGATGTTTGATGAGGAACAAAATCGAACCCGAGATAGGTTATTAACTGGTAATTTTTGGGGAATATATACTCATACAAGGAATCAGTAACCAGATTTGGCACTCAGAGAAGTCCAGTCCCAGATGCTTCCAGGAGCTAGCTGAACTCTGAGAGAGAGAGAGAGAGAGAGAGAGAGAGAGAGAGAGAGAGCCACCTCCCATCCTCTCTCTTGTCCTACCCTCTACGTACCTGTAACCACGCCCAAATGGGCATGGTCAGCAGTACAGGTAACCAGGGTCTCTCCCTTCAGATGTTAAAGAGCAAGCCTCTTTCACACTGCTGCTGTTTAAGGCCACAAACACTCCCTGTCAACCCGAGCCCTCTGTGTCATCTTTGGAAACACATAACAAATGGTGCAAGTTCATCTTCTCTTGGTTCATAGCACCTGCTGTGCTGCATTAGCAAACAGAGATTAAGCCTCATTCTTTTTTTATCATTTTTATTTAAATTAGAAACAATCTTATTTTATATATCAATCCCAGTTCCCTCTCCCTCCCCTCCTCCCATGCCTCCCACCGACCCCCATCCCATCCCTTTCCTCTCCATAGAAAGGGTGAGGCCTTCCATGGGGGATCTTCAAAGTCTGTCACATCATTTGGAGCAGGGCCTAGACCCTCCCCCATGTGTCTAGGCTAAGAGAATATCCCTCTATATGGAATGGGTTCCCAATGTCCATTCAGACACTAGTGATAAATACTGATCCATTACCAGAGGCACCATAGACCCAGGTCTTCTAACTGACACCCACGTTCAGGGACCCTAGTTCTATCCTATGTTGGTTTCCCAGCTATCAGTCCCGGGTCCATGAGCTCCCCCTTGTTCAGGTCAACTGTTTCTGTGGGTTTCACCAGCCTGGTCTTGACCCCTTTGCTCATCACTCCTCCCTCTATTAAGCCTCATTCTTTAGCCCCGTGGAGATTATATGTGTAAGAGTAGTGGTAGATTCAGTTTTGTAATAAGGGATAGAAACAGTAATCCCAGGTAGTTCATTTGAAAGGTGGAACTGAGAAGTTCTCTGAGTCTCTAGAATGGGAGTGAATCTAAAGATTTTCTACCAGGATCTTATGGGAACCTGCAGTCAATGCATGTGGAAGAAAGCTTGTATATCTTACCAATGCATAAAAACAAAACAAAACAAAAACCAACCAAAACACCCTTAGTCTTTGGTTAATGTAGCAAAGAAAAAGAAGCTATAGAAATCTGGGTTCATTGGGTTGCTTTCTCTTGGGTGATGCTCTAAGAAATGTAGGAAGTAAAAGCTTGTTGGAAAGTAGCAAGGCCATAGGCATTGGTGTGGAGGGAATGGAGTTGGAAGAGATGGCACTGGCCGCACATACATGAGGAGAACGCAGGCCCTTGTCCCTGCCAGCGATGAGATGAAGAAGACATTGCAGTTGAGCATGAAGCATGTGGCCCAAGTGACTCAACAGAGCTCTGTCATAACTCAGGCCCCGTGGTCTACCTCACCAGCGTCAGAGCTGTGGCTCTGCACACCTCTCAAGAAATGGGTTTAAGTCTCCCATGTTAGATGCTTTGGGAATTGTTGGCTCCTCTGGATATTAAATGACTTCTTCATTTCAGCTGCTTCCATATGGAAAGAAAATAAGTGAAATATCGATCGCAGCCATAAATGAGGCTGCTCTTGAGAAAATGATGTTTAAGATCATCGAGCTCTGGAACACATCTCCTCTGCATTTGGTGCTTCACCACACAGAGGGTTACTCCATCCTTATCATCTCATCCATCGATGACACCATAGCCCAGCTGGAGGACTCCCAGGCCATCCTCGCCACAATCAAAGCGTCTTCCTATATGACGCCAATTGAGGTAGACGCTGTGGAGATGATTTGGGAATGTTTTCATTTTCTGCAGCCTACCAGGTTCACTGTGCTTTCTGCAAACTCATATTTGATTTCAATTATTTGAGCTTTTCATGTTTATATAGAAGATGGAATATTTAATAATGTGAACACTAAAAATAATTTTTATACAAGTAATCATTAGTTATCCATGAGGAAATATCAAAGTTTAATTTGGATGGGCAAGATAAATTTATCTATATATATATATATATATATATATATATATATATATATATATATCCACAAAATATGACTTTTACCAGTTTCTCATAACTCATAACTGGCAGCCCTGCATCCAATAACTTAACTAAAATTAATTTTCAAGCTTTAAGAAACTTAATCAGGTGTGTACTGATAGGCTCTTCCATAACAAAATTAATATAATTGTTATATGGATGTGTCCCTCTGTACAGATTAGAGAGAGTCATAGAAAGGTCTGTGCAAATGGAATTCATATTTGTAAATATGCGAACACTTAAGGGAACATGTCGTTTAGATGGGCCTTAGAGAAAAAAACAATGTATGGGAGGAAGAGAAGAAAGCAAATGGATTATAGTAACACAAAAATTGTGATTAAGAGAATAACAGAAAAAAATAAGATTCACAAAAAAATGAGATACAAATAATTTTAAGATTTTAACTTTGGAAATGAGCAGCAAGAACAGATCATATGTCCAACCTGGTTACAGTTGTGAAAATGCACAAAATGCCTTTACTAAAATAAAAATTCATTAGGAAGTTGTAAACTGGGCATATTTGAAAAGACTAAAGAACTCACACATCCAGGAAGAACTACTTCTAAATAAGATGATCTTGAAGGACTTGTTACCATCCTGCCCAAAAAACTTAACCAAATCAGAAGAATAGATAGATAGATAGATAGATAGATAGATAGATAGATAGAGATATGTGTACATATAGTCTGCATGTTACATGAGTTAATTTTATGTATGTGTGCAAGTCTTAACAAAAAGATTTGTTTCTCATATAATGTATGAGAAAATTAGATGAGCAAGACATCTGAAAACTAAAGACTGAATAGAGCCAGGTTTATTTGCGTTTATGGTTGTGTTATGTCAGTGACCACTGATTGCCTCACTTCAGTTTCTATTATGTGATTCTTAGTAATTTCATGCATTTAGATTGTTATATTCAGGTTTTTTTCCTCTTGTAGGATCTTGTGACTGAATGGCATCAGAACTTGAACCTCTTCTCTTTAACCATTGAGGAATGGATGAAATGTCAGAGAGACTGGCTTTATCTTGAGCCAATCTTTAATTCTTCAGAAATGCAAAAGTAAGAAAATAAATTTTAAAAAAAGTCATGTGCAGGTGAAAGAAAGAAAGGAAGGAAGGAAGGAAGGAAGGAAGGAAGGAAGAAATACACAGGGGGATTTAACCTTCCGGAAATGATCTCTCTGATGAATGAACACCAACTGTGGTTTGAGTGTGAAAAGTCATGTGATTGGATACAATCACATCCAGTTATTTGTGGGAAGACTGAGGAACCTTTAGGAGGAAATGGGTAGTTGACTGTGAACATTGAGTGTTCACAGCCTGCGGCACTTCCTGTCTGCGGATCCCACGTGAGCAGCTGGCCTCCTGCTCCAGCTACCATACCTTCCCCTCGTGGTAGACCAAAATAACCCTTCCTCCCTGAATTGCTTCTGGCCAAGTGATGACGGACACATACAGGGATGAACTGTTAGACCATTGTTACTTTCTTACCCATAGACTACTACAAGGGTCATCTTCCTTTTGAAAACATAGTTCCCTTGATTGCTAAAATAAAGTTATAAAAACTGAGCTGCATCGATCGGAACATTACAGACACATGTTATGTGTCTCTTTAGTTCTGGGCGATTAGTGCGGTTCTGACGTTAGTAAGAAATATGCTTCTCCATGGCGTTCATACATAAATGAGAAATTCCCACTCTGCACCAGCTGGAGTAGCGGGACTTGGCATGCGATAAGGGTCCCATTCTCTTCCTTCATCCACAGCGCTCCAACTAATTGACTTCTAGCTTCTTAAAAGTGCTTAATCTTGAGAGTGTTCAAATGGAGACAAAGGAGGTATCCAGGAAGAATTTACAGTCTACATGGCTGCTGTAGACACGCGGAGGGGCAGCCACCCATCACAGCAGGAGCAAATGGCAGGAGCCTTGTCCCTCATGGTGCTAGAACTGGGAACAGAGACCTAAGTTCATTCTATGAGGGCCCATCTCCTACATGTTTTACTACTTCCCAGTGTCAGGGGCTGGGGGCACGCTGGCTTTGGGGACACATTCAAGTTGCAGACTGGAGACACAGACAGCTTTTACTTATCTTTATATAGAATTTCTGTGTATCTGTTGTCTGCTATACATTAAGCAAAATCTTGATAAATGATAATTGTATTTCACCCTGTTTTTCTTGAAATACATACTGCTTATAAAAATAGATACAATGGCTAATCAAGTAAATTTGTCTTATAAATTCAGCAAAATTATCTGATAAATTCAACAATAGGGTAGGCTTTCACTGAAGCACTCTCAGAATTATTCACATTTATTTTTATCTTTAAAGACAGCTGCCTACAGAAACAAGACTTTTCTCCCAGGTGCTTATCATGTGGAGAGAAATAACGGGGAGAGTGCTGAACAAACTCAACGCTTTGCACATAACTGTCACTACAAGGATCATCGACGTTCTGAAAATCTGCAATGGACACCTTGAAAACATAAAGAAAAGTCTGGAGGTAAGCAAGCTACAGCAGACCCCAAGTGCCGCGGTACCGTGGTGCATCAGGGCAGACTTTCCTCTCTGTGTCCCTGCCAGCAGCTTTTCTAACTCTCACTGCCATTTTTGTTTTAATGAAAGTACTAGCAAAAGAGAAAAAGATGGGTGGACCAGTCAAATGAGCCTCGAGAGAAGCACCACGCTTTTCCATACAGCAACATTTTTTTTTTAAGCCAAGAAGAGCAGTAGCCCTCCCACAAGCTTCGTGCATTTGAAGCACCTGAACTGGCCTGGAGAGAGCTCTTACTTAACACTTAATGAAGGCTAACGACTGTATTAGTCCTGCCTTTATTAAGGTGGTAAGTACTGCAGAAGCTGGGGCAGGATGATTGACATTTGTGAGCTGGCCGGAAATCACAAAACAGAGCTGGGAACTAGAGGCGTCCCCATAGAAGGACATCGTGCTCAGGCTCAATGCTCACCCACCCGTAAGACACTTAAGTGGACATTGTCAACTGTGGGTACAATCCCTGGCCCATGATTTTCCTTCTCCTGGTTTCCATTACTTGTAGCCAGCTGTGATTTGAAGATCTTAACTAGGAAGCCCTAGAAATGATTGATGAGTCTCTGATCATGAACCAGTCTGCACAGTGATAACGTCTCCATCCTGTTCAGGCCGTCAGTCACCCCTTTGTCCAGAGGGCCTGCCTCCCGCATACCGAACAACTCACTGCTCCCTCACTTACTAGATCTACTGCCATAGTTTCTCAATGTTGTCGCCAAGATTCCAGGCTTCCAGAAAGGTCTCTTTCTATGCATAAGAGTGGCTGGCTTCTGTATTGGGGTCCTGATAGAGCATTGTGGTCCCAGCTAAAGGGTGAGTGGTTACGTATGAAACCGCCAGGAAGCATCATGGGTAAAGAAGAGGCGTGATGAGCTGATCCTTAAGAGGTGTTGATAAGAGTGGATGGGGCTGGGGGGCGGACACAAAGGGAAATACAGGGTTGCTAAGCAATGGAACAAATGTGAGATGATACAGGTAAGAACGGGGCTTTGGAAAATGCCGCGTAACATAAAGACTGACATGTTCCCAAAATGTTTGGAAGGGGCAATTGCAGCATGTGAGGATACTGAGAGACGAGTAGAAAACCTGAGTCAATAAACTGTCTTCTCAGGAATTCAGAGAAGGCAAGTGCATGGGCAGAGAGAGAGCAGAGGGGGGAGAGGATTCCCTGTGTCTTTGTAATGAGAGAAAATTCATTGGCAGCAGAGGCCTTCTACGAGGTAGAGACTGAAGACATGGGGGAGGAACGAGGGAAATGACGCCGTAGGCCACACCCACCCTGTGACAAAAGATAAGACTGGAAAGATGAATGAGCTGTAGCATGGGTTGAGAAGCGTGGGGGACTGGGTGGAGTAGAGCCTGAGATCATTTGTAGAAATGATGTGCCCTCTGTGGGGATGACAAACAGGCCAGAAAGCTGCAAGCTTGGGAGAGGAGGGAGGCGTGCTGGCGATACTTGTGCTCAGCCGTCACATGGTGGTGACGGTAGAGGCGCCGTGTGGCAGGGCAGAGCTCTGCTGTTGGCTTGCTTCTGCTTTCATTTCCCTTTCCTTTAGTGTTGCCTTACTAAGAAGTGCTTCAGCTTTCATGGAGCTTGAGCTACCATCTGGCTGGATCTAGTGTGCACCGCACCTTTAATACTGCAGGCCAGGTGAAGGTATGATCCCCAGGGCGGTCGGACACGTGCCCTCAGCAGCATTTCTTTTGGCTTTGGACAGGATTACCTTGACGCTAAAAGAATGATTTTCCCAAGATTCTACTTTCTCAGCAACGCTGAACTTCTTCATATTCTAGCTAACAGCACAAACCCCAATTCCGTGCAGGTAAACAGCATTGTCCCCTCTCGGTATCATGTCCTCTCTCTGTCGGGGCTTTACTGTGTGACTGATGGGCGTGTTCTGGTTTGCAGCCTCATCTTTCGAAATGCTTTGAAAACGTGAAGCACGTGCTGCTATGGAAACACGAAGTTGGCCCTCCGTCTGTGAAGATGCTCATCTCGGCGGAAGGAGAGGGCCTGGTGCTGCCCAAGTATGAGGAGCACGGCGACCCCACACTTAGGCTCTTAGAGCCACTGTTTCTTCCAGATGGTGTCCTCGTGTGAACACAGGCTCCCCCACCTCACCACAGCGGGCTCTCTGCTCACTTTCACTTTAACGTAAAGTTGGAACAAAGAACTGCCCAACCCTGGGCACTAATTCACACTAGCTTTTGCCCCACGGGAATCTGACTTTTCAGATAGACCCGGAATGTGCTCTGTGGGATCTGTGGGCATTGTTCTGACCCCGGTTTCACCGTGGTGGGTTCCCAGGCAAGCGCCGCAAGCCAAGGCCTTCTGCCTCACTAATCCCGTTTGCCAGCCTCAGAGGGTCCTCCAGCCCCCAGCAGCTGGTTTCTGAGGAAAAGCAATGCCATGCCCAAGCTCTCCTACCCAACAAAGCCCCCAGCCCAATTTAGGTATTGGAAAATTCCAAAAATACCTTTACTTTTTTTTTTTTAATTTACATGCCTGCATGTGTATCTGTGTGATGCCAGTGCTCTTAACTGCTGAGTATCTTATAATACAATTTATCTCTCACACATTCTATGTTATCTGAAATCTAATTATATTCCTACTTTTGATATCAGAATTCCCTAAAGAAATGTGTTTTACTGCATGGTTTTCCAAGTAAAAAAAAATTGGTAAAAACTAGAATGTACAGTCTTACAGTTCTTTGCCCCAAAAGTAATGTGTGTGTCAAGAACTTAACTTACAAGTTTTTCAAAGAAAGAAAGTATTATAGTAATTTTGATAATATTTTTTAACAAATTATAGGAAAATCCGAGTAAGAACTGCTGTGGAGCAGTGGATGGTGAATGTGGAGAAAAGCATGTTCGATGTGCTGAAAAAGTGAGTACAGGATTTAAACCCTGAAATTATACATACTGTGCGTGCTGCATGTGTACTGTGTGCGTGCTGCGTGTGCACTGTGTGTGTGTGCTGCGTGTGCACCGTGTGTGTGCGTGCTGCGTGTGCACCGTGTGTGTGTGCGGTGTGTGTGCAGTGTGTGTGTGCTGCGTGTGCACCGTGTGTGTGCGTGCTGCGTGTGCACCGTGTGTGTGTGCGGTGTGTGTGCAGTGTGTGTGTGCTGCGTGTGCACCGTGTGTGTGCGTGCTGCGTGTGCACCGTGTGTGTGTGCGGTGTGTGTGCAGTGTGTGTGTGCTGCGTGTGCACCGTGTGTGTGCGTGCTGCGTGTGCACCGTGTGTGTGTGCGGTGTGTGTGCAGTGTGTGTGTGCTGCGTGTGCACCGTGTGTGTGCGTGCTGCGTGTGCACCGTGTGTGTGTGCGGTGTGTGTGCAGTGTGTGTGTGCTGCGTGTGCACCGTGTGTGTGCGTGCTGCGTGTGCACCGTGTGTGTGTGCGGTGTGTGTGCAGTGTGTGTGTGCTGCGTGTGCACCGTGTGTGTGCGTGCTGCGTGTGCACCGTGTGTGTGTGCGGTGTGTGTGCAGTGTGTGTGTGCTGCGTGTGCACCGTGTGTGTGCTGCGTGTGCACCGTGTGTGTGTGCTGCGTGTGCACCGTGTGTGTGCTGCGTGTGCACTGTGTGTGTGTGCTGCGTGTGTACCGTGTGTGTGCTGCGTGTGCACCGTGTGTGTGTGCTGCGTGTGCACCGTGTGTGTGTGCTGCATGTGCATCACGTGTGTGCTGCGTGTACATCGTGTGTGCACTGTGTGTGTGCATCGTAGGTGTGTGTGCTGTGTGTGTGCACTGTGTGTGTGTGCTGTGTGTGCATTGTATGTGTATGCTGTGTATACATTGTGTGCTGTGTATGCATTGTGTGTGTTGTTTGAGTGTTGTATTTGTATGTGTTATGTGGGCCGTTGTGTGTGTGTGTGTGTGTGTGTGTGTGTGTGTGTGTCTCTGTGTGTGTGTGTGTGTCTGTGTGTGTGTGTGTGTGTGTCTGTGTGTGTGTGTGTGTGTGTGTTCTTGGGCATCAAATATCAGCCAAGACATGACTCAAGCCAGTTCCAGTCTGCTTTCAAAAGCGTCGGGCTCACTACTTTGTGTCTCTGTTGCACTTTTACTCCCTCACACTGTTGAGTAGGTTTAGACCTGGAGGTGAGCAGTGCTGGAGACCCGACACGGAACCTTGTGCACTAGGCGAGCATTGCTGAGGGACAGCCTTTGCTTGGTGTCTTCAATATTCTCTTTTGTTTATTACTCTGTGATTGCCATCTACGTTCAGGGAAGAAAGTACCCCAGAGTATAGGCTTCTAAAAATAGTTTGACTAGAGCAGTTGTGTTACGTTTTCAAATTGTTGTTAAAAACCTTTTTCATGCAATATATTTGAATCCTATTCCTTCCCCTCCCAGCTCTTCCCCACCTGGCTCCCAGCTGCATGTTCTTCCTCTCTCTGTATGGAAGCGCTGCCTTAACTCTTGCTATTTACTAATCTTTGGAGAATGTGTTGTCTTTCCCTTGCCTCTGTTTCCATCCCAGATGATATTGACAGGGTAGAAACCAGAAAGATGTAATGCCCCCAGTAAAAACTATTTTTTTTTCTTCATTTCTATTTTTTATTAGTTCAAATTAGGAACCAGCCTGCTTATATGTCAATCCCTTCTCCCTCCCCCTTCCCCTCCCCTCCTCCAACCCATCCCCAACCCAAGAAGTGCCCCCCACTCCATCCACCCTCCACTCCCCAGGCAGGGTAGGACCCTCGACGGGGCTCCCCAAAGTCCACCACATCATCCTGGGCCGGGCCTAGGCCCCTCCCCCATGTGTCCAGGCCGAGAGAGCATCCCTTCACGTGGGATGGGCTCTCAAAGTCCTTTCTTGCACCTGGGAAAAATACTGATCCACTACCAGGGTCCCCCTAGAGTGTGGAGGCCTCCTCATTGACATCCATGTTCAGGGGTCAGGATCAGTTCTGTACTGGCCTCCCAGACAGCAGTCTGGGGTCCATGTGCTCCCCCTTGTACAGGCCAACTCTTTCTGTGGGTTTCAGCAACCTGGTAACAACCCCTTCGATCTTCATTCCTCCCTCTCTGTAACAGGTTCCAGAGTTCAGTTCAGTTCAGTGTATATCTGTGGGTGTCTGCCTCTGATCCCATCAGCCGTTGGATGAGGGCTCTAGGATGGCATAAAAAGTAGTCATCAGTCTCATTATAGGGGAAGGGCATTTAGGGTATCCTCTCCACCATTGCCTAGATTGTCAGTTCGTGTCATCCTTGTAGGTCTCTGGAAATCTCCCTAGTACCAGATCTCTCCTCAGACCTATAATGGCTCCCTCTAATATGGTATCTCTCATCCTGCTCGCCTCTATTCTTCCCCCAACTCAACATTTCTGCTACTCCATTTCCTCCTGTCCCCTCCTCTTCTTCTCCTCCCATTCTGGAATCTCCCTCTCCCCTACCCTCATGCTCCCAATAGGCTCAGGAGTTCCTGCCCCTTCCCATTCTCTGGGGTCCATGCATTTTTCCCTTAGAGTCCTTCTTGTTTCCTAGTTTCTTTGGTGAAGAGGATTGTAGGCTGGTAATCCTTTGCTCTATGTCTAAAATTCATATGTGAGTACATACCATGCTTGTCTTTTTGTGACTGTGTTACCTCACTCAGGATGGTTTCTTCTAGTTCCATCCATTTGCCTATGAATTTCAAGAT